CCTGCTACTTCTCTCTCTTCTCCCTCTCTCCTTCCCTTCCAACTTCTTTGCCTTTTGCGGGTGGTCTGTGTTGAGCATGTCCAGTCCAGTCTTGAACCCCTGAGCTCAAGTGGCCCCCCTACCTCTGCTCCCAAGTGCTGAGATCACAAGTGTGCCCCACCACATCCAGCTGTTTTGTGGGTAAGTGTGGGGGCCGGTGCACACGTGTGTAGGCCCAAGGCCAATGTCAGGTGTCTTTTCTCGATCTTTCTCCACCTTCATGTTTTAGACAAGGTCTCTCACTGGAACTGAGGCCGGCTGGCTAAGAGCGTCAGGGATCCACCTGTCTCCACCCTGCACCAAAGCTGGGGTTCCAGGCACACACCACTCTGCTGGGGCTCTCTTGATGGGTTCTGGGGATCTAAACTCAGGTCCTTGTGCTTGGATGGCAGGCACTTTACCAATGAGCCATCTTCCCAAGTCCCAAATGTTTCTCTTTTCCTAATTTGGTGAGTCAGCTGTGGAGCATGCTCTTGTCTCAGACACGTACGTGTGCCCAGATGGTGTTTTTTTTTTGTTTGTTTTGTTTTGTTTTTCTTCTTTTTGCTTATCTTTGCAGTCCTTGGTTTTCTGCTGTTAGTGATCTCAGTAGTGACTATTGTAAGTTTATCGCCTCTGCTGTTGTGACATTGTTCCTTCAGTACTGCAATGGACAAGGCCTGCTTTTGTCATGACTCCAAAGTCTACCTTGCAGTTTCCAAGTCACACTAGCTACTTTTGAGACTGACCTGTGGCGCTCTGAGCGTTTTTGTCCGGAGAAAGCAGCCTGCCATTTTGCATTACTTTTAAGCCCCATACGTACAGCAGGGGTCTTCTACCATTCTGCCCTTAGCAGAGTTACATGGGAGACCTGAGCTTGAGGACCCTTGCCCGAGGTTCCCCTGCACAACCCTAGGAGACGCTTACCACGTCACAGGGGTCCTGTCTTAGTTGGGGTTACTATTGCTGTGATGAAACACCATAGGGAGAAAAGCAACTTGGGGAGGAAGAGGTTTATTTTACTCACAGTTCCCTATAACATGTTGTTCATCATCAAAAGCAGTGAGGGCAGAAACTCAAACAGGGAAGGAACCTGAATGGAGGCAGGAGCTGATGCAGAGGCCATGGAGGGGTGCTGCTTACTGGTTTACTTCTCGTAGCTTGCTCAGACAACTTTCTTATAGAACCCAGGACAACCAACCCAGTGACGGCCCCACCCACAATGGGCTGGGCCCTCCCCCTCCCCCATCAACCATTAATTAAGGAAATGCCTTATACTGGCTTGCTTACAGCCCGATCTCGTGGAGGCATTTTCTCAATTGAGGTTCCCTCCTCTCTGATGATTTTATCTTGTGTCAAATGCACATAAAACCAGCCAGCCCAGGTCTAAAGCACTCGTCACGGGAGAGGTGCCTTCTTGGGTCTCTGGCGTGGCATGACCCTAAGAAAAGTCCAACACAAGAAAGCCCCAAGCTCTTAGGAGGCCACCTGGGTCAAGCGGGGTACCTTAAACCTTTATTGAGATAGCCCTGCCTGTCTATAAAAATGTCTGCGTGTCTCTATGTATATTTTTTTTCTCTTAAATGGGAGTTACGAAGAGTTTGAGAATGGTCTTTCACTTAGAATCTTTAAAATCCCCAAATTTGGGTCTAGGGCAGGATGGGGTAGAGACAGTGGGTAAAATTTTTGCTGTGCCAGTGTGCAGGTCTGAGTTCAGATCAATGGCATGCACATAAAAACTCTGCACGGTGGAGCACATCTGGAACCCCCGGGGAGTTCCAGGTTCAGCAAGAGACTCTATCTCAAAAGACAAACGAAGAGGGGGAAAAAGAGGTGGATGTGTGGTGTGGAGTTCTTTGTTACCCAGGAAGACACTTGGAGACCTAAATGTTTGCTAATAGGCTTCTGGTTGAATGAGTGATGTTCAGTCTACGCAATGAATTCAGGGAGGCTATTAGAGGGAACTGAGTCGTGTATACATTGTTCACTGGAAAAGCAAGGGACAGAACTGTAGGTATAGTGGGTTTTTTTTTTATTTCAAAGACGCCATACTTATGTTTATGTATAAAAACATGATTGTAACTAGAAACTCCTGGAGAAAACTTCCAAGCAGCTGTTGCACATGGTTACCCCTGGAAAGCACTACTGAGCCCTCGGGGCACAATGCAGGCATGCGCTTTTGTATTCTTTAGATATTTTATTGATGCTCAAATTGATTTTTCTCAGCTATAAACGCATTCTAGTATAATGGCATAAGCTAAAAGCGACATCCTGACCACGAGGGCAGGGTCCTCTCTGGCGGCTGACTTTGTTGACACCCCTTCTCTTATCTTGGGGTCTCTCTCCTGGTAGCCAGGACCTCGGGGAGAGTGAAGGAGGGGCGATAGAGTTGGAGCAGACCTTAGCTGCGCTTGTCCCCGAGGTGCCCGCTGTTGAGGAGAAGAGCCAGATGAAGGGCCCCTTTCCATGCAGACCCGTGAACACCGTCACCCAATGTCCAGGGTCTGGGGCATCAGCAGTTTGGCCTCACTTGAGGGAGACAGAAGAGGGAATGAGAGAGAATGAGAGAGGAAAGGTGGGCAGAGGTGGATGAGTGAAGGAAGTGGGCATTAGGCCCTATTCCCATTATTTCTCTAGAAGTCTAGTTCTAGAAATCCGGGTTGATTATCTGTCTTTAATCCATGCCAGGGATACTGTCCTTTATACTGAATCCTATAATGACCATCTTACCCTCCTAAAGTGACCAGACTTATGACAAGACCTGGTCAGAGCCTGCCCAAGCCATGTCCCTGGGAAAGTACACCTCAGCCTCAGCTCTCTTGTCCTTAGCTTCCACTTGTCGAAAGCGCTTTTGCTGTCCTAGGCAGACCTCGGGCTCACACTGCATTCCCTCTGGGAATGTCCCTTCTTCCATGAAAGTCATTTTCTGCCTGGATTTCTCTTCAGCACAGCAGAGGCTGGAACTGCTCCAGGCTTTCCATCTCAAGTCCTCCAGAAAAAACCCAGGCTTGAATCTGATTGGTTTTCATTGCCTCTGAACGGGTCATAGGCCTTGCCTTGAACCAGTGGACAAATCAAGTCCTGTGTCCAGGGGGATGTGATGTGTTGATTGGGTCATCCCTGCAGTCAGAGGGGGGGTCAGCTGTCCAATCAAGAAAGTGGGTGAAGGAAAGTGAAAGGGAGCTGTGTCCTGTAATTAGCACCCCAGTACTTCCCCTTTTCCTTCCTTCTTCCTCTTCTCTCCCCCCCTTCCCTCCTCTCCACTGTCTGTATTACTGGAGACTGACCCAGAGGTGTCATATATGCTAAGCAGATGCTCCATTCCTGAGCTAGATCCCCAGGCTCCTTTCTACTTCTTCTAAATTTTGAGTCAAGGCCTCACTCAGCTGCCAGGGCTAGTCTCCAGCATGTGATCCTCGTGTCCCAGCTCCATCCTCTTGCTGATTTCTGGGTTACAGGTTCACACCACAGATGCGTACCACCAGGTCCAGCAGTTTTCAACGATGCGGGATTCTCTCTTTGCTTAAACCAGCTTGATTCAGAGTCTGCGTTGTTTCTTCTTTCAATAGGAGTTCTGATGGAAAAAAAGGAGAGACTCACATACAAAAGAGTCCATTTTGTAAGGGTGTGTGCATGTGCATGTGTGAGTAGAATAAGAAAATGACTGGAATGCCACGCAAATGGTCCCGATGGTTTTGTTTTATGATGGGTGAGAACACGGTCTTAGAGCTATCCTACTCAGTGAGTATAATGGTCAATAAACCACATTAGCTCTTCAACATTTCATTCCAAAACAGGCTTTGTGTGAAGTGTTTTGCTCAACCACGAGCTAATACAAGAGTCTAAACATGTTCAGACAAGCTAGGCTAAGCTATGGTGTTTGATTAGATCTAGCACATGTATTTGTTTTGACTGACAATATGTTCAGCTTAGAATGGGTTTAGCGGACTCAAATCCATAGTAAATCAAGAGGCATCTGTAAGAGAGAGTAGCAGGATTAAAAGTAATTTTTCTGTTATACATTTTATTCATTTAGAAATATATTTATGTGCATAAACCTTTTCCCTCTATGTACATATGTGCACCATGCGTATGCTTGGTGCCTGTAGAGGTTAGATGAGGGCATTGGACCCTCTAGAACTGGAGCTACAGATGGTTGTGAGCCTCCATGTGGGTCCTGGGAATCCAACTCAGGTCCTCTGCATGAGCAGCCAGTGCTCTGAACCCTGGAGCCACCTCTCCAGCCCAAGTTTTCATTTTTAAATTGAAATTTAATTGTTTGAGATGGTTTTAGTATGTATTTCTGGCTGGTCAACCTCAAACTCATCTCTGTGCCTGCCTCTGCCTCCTGCATGCTGGGATTTAAAGGTGTGTGTCACCACAGCCGGCTTAAAATGGGCAGCCCCGGCTGGCACTCACTCTCATTTTACTTCGACCCCTTCAGAGTATCCTAACAGTATGTGCTGCTCCAATGGGCTTCTTTCTTTTTCTTTTTTTTTATGTATTTGTGATTATGTGTATGCATGTGTCTTATGCGTGCATGTATTTATGTGTGTGCATGTGTGTGTGCGCGCTGCTCAGAGGTTGATAGCAAGTGTTTCTTTCAATCACCCTTCACTTTATACACGGAGGCAGACTCCCTCTCCTTGAACTCAGAACTCACCAATTTACCAATTTGGCTACTCTAGTTAACCAGCTTGCTCCAAGATTCTTGGTCCCCCCCCCTCCCTTCCATGCAACAGGATGATGAGTGGACCACTATGCCCATCCAGCATTTTAGGGATTCTGGGGACCTAAACTTTATCTTCATACTTGCATGGCAAGGGCTTTACCCCCAATCCATCTCCCCAACCCCTTGCCTATTACTTGCAGTGCATCAAGCACGGGTTGCTAAGGGCTCATCATTCTCCGCCAAGTTGTCTTAGCTGTTCATCCATTCAAGGGGGTGAGAGGAACTCTCTTTTCTGCTGTTGGTGTTGCAGGCAAGAACATGAGCCGCCTAAACACAAGCGACAGCTGCTCGTTCGTGGACGTGGATACGATGATGAGTACCTTGCAGCTGGCAGTCCACATCCCCACCTTCCTCCTGGGCCTGGTCCTCAATCTCTTGGCTATCCGAGGCTTCAGTACCTTCCTGAGGAAGAGGCAGCCAGAATACATTGCCACTTCCATCTACATGATTAACTTGGCCGTCTTCGACTTACTGCTTGTGCTCTCGCTCCCGTTCAAGATGGTCCTGCCGCAAGTGGACTCCCCCTCCCGCGGCTTCTGCACGCTGGTGGAGTGCCTCTACTTCATCAGCATGTACGGGAGTATTTTCACCATCTGCTTCATCAGCCTGGACAGGTTCCTGGCCATGCAGTACCCACTCCTGGTCAGCTACTTCCGGTCCCCCAGGAAGACCTTTGGGATCTGCTGCGTCCTCTGGATCCTGGTGTGGATCGGAAGCATCCCCATCTACACTTTCCACAGGGAGGTGGAGAACTACAAGTGCTTCCACAACATGTCCGACGGCACCTGGAGCGCCAAGGTCTTCTTCCCCCTGGAGATCTTTGGCTTCCTCCTTCCCATGAGCATCATGGGCTTCTGTTCCTATAGGAGCATCCGCATCCTGATGGGCCGAAGGGAGTACACCCAGGACTGGGTCCGGCAGAGAGCCTGCATCTGGACCATCGCTATCAACCTTGTCATCTTCGTGGTCTCCTTTCTGCCGGTGCACTTGGGGTTCTTCCTGCAGTTCCTGGTGAGGAACAGCTTTATCTCGGAGTGCAGAGTCAAGCAGAGCATCAGCTTGTTCCTGCAGCTGTCCCTGTGTTTCTCCAACATCAACTGCTGCCTGGATGTTTTCTGCTATTACTTTGTCATCAAAGAATTTCGCATGGGCCTCAAGGCCCACCGGCCTTCCCGAGTCCAGCTGGTCCAGCAGGACACCACGATCTCCAGGGCTTAAGGGAAGGTACCCCAAGGGAGGGAAAGCCCAGTCCCAAATTCTCACAAGAAACACCCTGTGCCTCTTTAACATTTGCTCGCTACCATCTTTGTTCCTTATCCCCCTAAGACCTTCCCACAGCATCTGGACGGCTGACGTATGTCACCCTTGGTTTGCGTTTGCTAAAGAACCAGGTGACTTCTCCATTTCTAAGTCCAAAATGTAGGAAGCAGAAGAATCGAAAAAAGAAAACGTAACTTTAGAAGCCTGTTTCTCAGCTTTCCCATCTTTCTATTCTGTTGGAAGAGTCGAGAAAGGGAGAGATGGAGAAAGGGGTAGGGCTGGGATTCGAGAGCATTTTGGCAGAGATACAGGGAGGGGGAAAATATGCCTTCAAGATGGAGCAAGCTTGCACTTTTCTCCAGGCCCTTCTGAAGCTCTGTTGGCAATGACCCCACAGAAATGATGACAAAGAGGGCTTTTAAGAGTTGAAAAGATTTCCTTCCAGCCCTGGAAAGGCGCAAGAGGCCATCCAAACCTTCTTATGCCTTTGAGACGGACTAGATGGAGGGAGGGGGCTGTGTGAGACAGGTCATGGGGAAGCAGGAGACACTATGGGGCCAATGGGGACAGCCTGGAAAGAGAGCAAAATGGAAAAGGTCTAGAATACACTCAGGGAAGGAAAGAGACACACCCGCGCTGGAACTGGATGCCCGCTCTCCTAATGCCATCAGTAGTAGCGCTGTCCCAGGACTCAGACAACCTAAAAAAGATAGCTCTCTCGAAGGTGACCATCCTTCTCCCTTGGACAGCCTAGAAACCGATCATGGGACCAGTAGGAAGGAAGCAAGGTTCAGTCATCACAGAATGAAGGAGGAGTCCTTATTGGGTCCTTTCACTGGTGACAGGTCTAGGGAGCTGGCTAGGAACTGGAGGGAGGAGAGGGGGTGGCTTTCTTCACTAGGCAGCAGGAAGGCCTGGGTTGGAAGAAGGTGGTGAGGCGCTCATCAGTTCCTGGAGGGAAACTCCAGACAGCTGAATCAGTGTTGGAGCCTTCATGGGCTCTTCTCGCTCTGGCGGAGGCGCTCACAGTGACAGCTGCGAGCTTCACTTGCCATGACTCAGCCGTTCCGGAGAGTGAAACGATTAGACGGATAAATTGTGGGGTGCTTTTGCAAGGCGGAAGGAGTGGGATGAGGAGAGACGCATGAGACTTCACACGAATAAGACACAAGGTCTTTAGGAAGAGAAGCAGCTACAGCCCTGACTCACTGGAGCCCAGGGATGAGAGACTGGGGGAGGGGTGGTGGCGTGGGGAGGGATGGGAGAAGATGGCGGTGTGCCTCTCATCTGGGACCTGCCCACAGAGCGGAAGATGGAAGTGAGGCAAGGTGTTGGAGACAGGAGGAGCAGGAAGGAGGGGAAGAGCAGGGAGAGGGAGAGGAGAGGAGAGGAAAGAAAAGGAGGCGAGGAGGAGAAAGGTAGATGGATGGGACTGAAGGGCTGAGGCAGGGAGAGACTAGGAAGGGTCCTTAGGGAAGAAGGTAAAGGCAGAGCAGCTTCCTCCTGAGAGTCTATCATCGTCCTTGGATTGGAAGCCAAGGAAGAGTTGGTACTTCCAGGTCATGGTGGCTGTGGCAGTGTTTAGGTGGCGCTGTGGAGCCACCTTTGGGCCTCTGAAGGAAAAGCGTCAAGGGTCTTGGCCATGGCTGTGGAGGATGAGAGTCTCAGATCCAGAGCCCGCCTCAGAGTTGGGCCTCCAGTAGCCTGTCAGTGGAGACTCGGGGCCATGCAGACCCGAAATAAGGGCCCCAGCCTTGCATTCTGTTTTGTCTCGCAGCTGTCCTGGCAGAGATGCCATTTGTGACTCCGAGACAGCCTGAGTGTCACATCCAGCAGAACATTTGTGGCCTTGGGACCACCTCCGCTGAATTCTCTCTGTGTAAGGAGTCGTTAGCCCATCCAGCAGAGTCAAATAGTCCCCTCCATGTGCAAGTGTGTCTCCCAGGTAGGCTTTCCCAGAGGAAAGGCTTAGCAGGCCTTGACTACCCACCATCCCCATTAATGACCAATGCTAAAACTGACCCGATGGTGGAAAGAGCTTTGTGTCCCCAAGAGGATCATTGTCTAGAGGGCAGGGAATCTAGAGCCTTAAACTGCAGAAGGGTTCCTGGAGGGGTACAGCAGTGTCAGATCAGTGTGATGACCCTAGATCTGGAAATGGGGACACAGGCTCGAGAACCCCCTGATTCGTCCCCAAAGGGTGAGTGAAAGGAAGGAAAGTCTTGTCTTTTCCCAGGGAGACTTACCTGTGTGTGTCCAGACTCTGGGCGCTCGTTACCAGTCCTATGGGTCCGTAATTGGCTGTTGACCCAGCAGGACAGAAAATAGGGACGTTTAGAGTTGGAGCACAGCCGATGGCCATCAGCGAGTCGGGTACACCCAGGACTTAGTTGTGGAAAAAGCCCAGATTCCTATTACTAAAGCCGATGGGGCTAGAAGGTATTGTTTGAGCATAAACATGACCTTATTTGTACCCAGGCTAGAAAACCTGACATATCAGCTGCGTGTCCAGTTGTGAAATCGAGCACAAATTAACTGGAAAACCAATTTGATTAACATGATTTACCAAATAAATAAATTCATTCAACGCACTGTGACTGTCTTGGGCTTTCATTTCTGATTCCAGAGAAGAACTGATCTCTAAGGGGCCCTCAGATTCACCAGCCACTTGGACACCGGGTATGGCATTCCAGGCACCTGTCTCAGGTGTGCAGCTGGTCTTCCCAATCAGTTAGCAGCTAGACCCTGAGGGTGTCTAGTGGTAGTCACATGGGTGTTCAGCTATCTGGCCACTGAGTCTCACGGACCCCACACACCTGGCCCTAGTCCTTTTCAGCCATCTTGTTCCACCACAACATGGCCCTGCATACATTAAAGGGCCCAGCCTGAGAGGCCTGCTGACCATGCATCTCCGGTGGTAATGCTCCTCACCTACCCGAGTCCCTGACAGGCACGGCCCAATAGGCTTAGGCCTGAGACACTCCTTTTTCATAAGTACCTCAAGTTCCAAGACATGACCCAGATGTGGAAGCAGGGACATCCTCACTCCTCAACAGTTATTTTTCTGTTAACCCTAGCTACCTCACGGCAGGGCCCTATGCCCTTGGATCCCAGAGGATGTCGCTGGAGAATGCCTATCCATCAGCTGTGTTTGGTTGCTTACGTGCCTGCTCCCCACGGACCTTTGGAAGGTAACGTCATTACAGTCATACAGTGGAGATGCCCTGGGTTCCTGAGAACGCCCACGGGGAAGATTCTACCCTCTAGAAAGTTACCATGAATCACCAGTAATTTCAAAGATGCTTGAAATGACTGTAGGCTCAGTAGCAGTCGCAGAGACTCGCGAGGATTAGAAAGGACTGGTTTAACGGATCAACGATGGAAAGACAGGGTGAGCTTTCTGGCTAGCCAAGCAGGACCCATGTGGAGATGCCACCTGAAAGATCCTCCCTGGTCCTCAGAGGGCCAGCTATACTGTGAACAGCATCCTTTGGGGGGCACAGAGAGGCCGGCTGAGGTCGCTGTGAGAATCCCATTCTGAGGACAGGGGACTCAAAGATTTATGGAAGTTGATTTTCGGGTGCACACCCCTGAAACTGCCACCGTAGTACCTCTCACTTCTCGGCAGTGCCTCTGGGTAAGGCCAGGGCAGAGCTACCCCAGGTGCTGAAGGAACGTAAAACACAGGAGAGAGGAGCAAAGTGCATGCCTGTCCCCTCTTCCCTCCGTGAACAGTGCTGGGGGAGGGACCGTCACGTGAGCTACAGCAGAAGTGAGGCCCTCTGCCCTTTGGTGTCTGCAAAGCAAAGACTTCAAAGGAATGCTTGTGGGAGCAACCCCGAGCTCACCTTTGAGGCCCCAGGCAGCGCCTTTGCTCCAAAGCAGTCACCTGAGAAACTATAACCAAAACTCGTCTGCACAAGGTACATTGCAGTCATGGGGGTGGGAGGAGGTGGGAGAGTGTGGGAGCAGTATTGCACAGCACAGTCAAAAAAAAAAAAGGCCGTTTAGGGTGATCTGCAGAGTGAGGCTCTGTGAAGCACCCCTCTTTTCTAAGGATGACTTTGGATGTCCAAACACACTCCTATGTTTCCCATTCAAGTCACATCTTGGAAAGGGTTGATAGTGAGGAGGGCTAGGCACGTAGGGCCGTTGTTCATGGATAAGCCAGCCCTGACTAAACCCGAAGACAGCAAGAGGTGATTCTCAGAGGCAACATCTCTCAAACAAGCTGGATCTGACGCAAGGGACCCAGTGCTGGTGGCCAAGGTCCAGGGAGGAGACGGGGTCCTTCCCTTCCCTCTCCAGCAGAGAGGGTCCAGAGACCAGGATCCCTAGGATGGCTCTAGATAGTCTTCAGGGTAGGGAATATTTTTGGAGTGAGAGACTTCTCCAAAAGCCTCTGCCAACACCCACCTCCCCCCACATACACCTTTCCTCCCTCAAGGGGCAGCTGGGCTTTGCTTTCACTGAAGGCCCTCAGGGACAATCGCTATAGAGTGGGGTAGGAGAAGGTGCCAAAGCCCAGGTGCTTGGTAGACTTGCCTGCACCTGCAGGTAGATGGGTTTCTGGCATTCATGGAGGATGACGTCAGGCCAGCATCACTTGAGTGTTCAAGACAGTTTAACTCCAGAGGCTGGGGGCGTGGGGAGCGGGTGGGTTAAGTCATGGGACAAACACAGGCGAAGGTTGGTGGTTGATAGAGCTGAGCTGTTGGTATTTCCTCCCTGGGATTTCACTCTGCAGAGCGCGCAGATATCAGAGAGATACAGGCAGGGTCTGGTGGAGCATAGGAGGTGCCGCAAAAGGCATCTCTCCCCATCGTGGAGGATGAACGCACAAGGTCTGGCCAGGCCCTGTGTCCGGTGAGAGCGCTCCTCTTGGCTGCAAATGTTTGCTTCTTACTGTGTCCGCACGTGGCAGAGAGAGAACAAGCTTTCTGGAACCTTCGGAAAAGAATACTGGTCTGTTTGGGGCAGACTCCGCTGTTGGGGTTTCATTTTACCTTCATTGCCCCCCTAAAAGTCCAGAGTTGGGCTTGAATACCTGAATTTAGGTGGAAGCATTCAGGCAATCCCCATGGCTTTTACTGCGTGAGCTTGAACAGAACATACATGCTTCCTCTAGTTCCTTAAGTTGAGCACACCCAGCTCTGAGATGACGTTTTACAAAGATGTGCCTGACACCTCTGTCATCACTGGGATTCCCTCTTGCTCCGGGACCTATATGAATCCTAACAAGAGAGTCTCCTTCAGACCTGCAGAGATGGCTCAGTGGCTAAGAGCGCTTGTTGCCCTTTGCAGAGTACTGAGTTCAGGTCCCAGCACCTGCATAGGGTGGCTCACAACACACACAAATAAAAGGAAAATATATCTTTAAAGCTAAGTGGGGTTAGCTGGAGAGATGGCCCAGCAGTTAAGAATACTTCTTTCAGAGACCAGGGTCTGTTTCCCAGGGACCACATGGTGACTCACAGCGGTCTGAAAGTCTAGTCCCAGGTGATTTGATGCCCTCTTCTGGCCTTCTCAAGAACTGCATCCACATGATGCAAAGCACCCAGATACATAAAAGGAGTAAAATTAAATAAATAAATGAATGAATAAAAGAGGGTCCTTGTCTCATGACCAGGCCTGTAAATGAAGGCTTTCACGTTCCACGGTTACAAGGCTTCCTCCTACAGTTCCCACTGGGCTGCAAGTTGCTCCTCCCTCCAGCTCAAATGTCATTTCCGGAGGGCCCACACCAAACACATGCTTTGGAGACTGGCCACCTTCCCTGGACCACTCTCATGCCTTCTCCCTACAGATCCTATGGCACTTTCTCCATCTGGATCTGGGGCTCCAAAGTCTGGCCACCTTGAAGACAGGAGAAGCCTGGAGACATCCAAAGCAGATGGTTTTTAGCACCCATCCTTGTAATCAGGATCCTGCTGGAGAAAATGGAACCGTGGTGTCAGGATGGCACCAGGAAGCTCTAACATCTCCAGCAGAAATAACTGGCATTCGTGTTTCCTGGGTAAAGGCCACATCTACTCCTGAATGGAGCAAGAAGGACGGAACAGAGGACTGGCAGCTCTCAGTGGTACCAGCCGTTCCCGAAGAGGAAAGAATAGGGTAACTAGGAGCCCACTCCTGCCATAAGTTTTGCTTGAGATGCCTGCAATAGTCCCCACCACCTTCCCATAGGTTAATGCTCAGCAGTTTAAGTGGAAGGGCTAGCAGTCTGGTACTTAAAGAGATGGCAGAGGAACCGCCCCACTCAACTGCTGGTCACACTTGCTGGCTAAGTGGGCATTCACGGGCATCCTGGGATCGGGGGTGTGAGCAATAGGACTGTGAGGTTCTGGTCTGAAGCCTGCGGCTGTCAGTGGTACATACTGCTGTGTACTTTCCCTCTCCCCTGAAGAGGTCCTGCCTGGAGCCTCAAGGGTGACACCTTCTGACTGCATGGAGAAGCCATAGCCCATCCTTCTTCAGGGGTCAGCAAGCAAAACTGAACTTCCCGGTGGACTCCTTGACCTAAGGAGGATCCTGGGAATCACTGGAGACAATCTTCCTGTCTGAAGAACACATACGGACTAAGACAATTAATTTCATCAATGCAATTAAGGCGAGGGTTTTTGTGATCTAAGGCAGCGGGCAGGCCACACTAGCCACGCTGTCATCTTTATACAAGATGTTTATTAATCTTTATCCCTCCCTAGGAGCTGATGTCATCAAAAAGTCCACCCTCCAGGGATGTCCTTACCTGACCTGCTGCGAAAGTTCCTGGGGCCCCTACTTGTCATCCTCCAGAGTACCTCCAAGGCCCGCCCACTCCCCACAAAGGCTGCCTTTGGCACAGCTGGGAATTCAGAGTCGCTGCCTTCTGAGTACTTCCTTCGGTCCTTCCCACTCCACTGTCTTCTGAGGAACGGGAGAGGAACGCAAAGCCCTCATTCAAAGGCAGCACTAAGAGAGAAACACCTGTGGAAATAGCCCCCCACGCTCCCGTCCCCGCGTTCCTCAGAAGTTTAATGAAGCGGGCTGTACTGGTGAGCTACTGCGTCCTCCCCAAGCTGGGCTGCAGCTGAAATAATCAAACTCAAAAGGAGGGCAGTATGGGGGAGGCTTGGGGGACGGGGTCCCCAGCAGCTGGTGCAACCAGGATGCATTTTAGAGTGTAAAGCATCAGAGCCCTTCCCCATGGCCCGCCTTCAGTAAGTTCAAGCTGTAGCCTCGTGAGCTGTCCTTCAGTTGAGAAAGAATCTGGAATGCCCAGGAAACAGGACCCCAAAGATCAATGCTCTGAGAGATTGGGGGGGCTTAGTCTCCCCCAAACTCCCAAAGGTAAGGTCCCTCTGACGTTGCATTTCCATTAAATCTGCTCGTATGGCGGAAAAGCCTTGTCACACAGCATGTCCTCTTGCTGCCCCATAGAGAATCATTTACAAACCACTGTCTGTCTTACGGTTCATGAGGCGTTGTCCTGGGCTTTTGTATATGTTCAAAGCTCATTATATCCCCCCTAAAAGCTCTGTATGAGTCATCTCAAAGTTGTCTACAGTCTCGCCTCCCCAACAGGAGTCGGGTTTGCCTTTTTTGTGTCCCG